ACCTGTGGTTTCAGTAGGAACAAGCCCTTGTCCTTATCTTTTAAAGCACCTTTTATGATGATTCATGCAAGCATTATGACTGTGAAGAAGGAAGCTACAACTGAAAATACAGAATAGCACCTATAGAGACAAAGCAATGGGCCAAATTGCTCAGTGGTAGACACCTGCTGAAGTCAATGGAGTTAGAACTATGATTAATTTGACCCACTGCGTTAGAGGAAGCTGATGGAGATTTCTAGATATAGCACTCTGATTATAAACCAGTTCAGTGGCAACGGGAAAGACTGGGAGTTGCAGAGAATAGATGAAAATACTTTGCTTCCTTGTTTGGAGTAAACTTTTATCATTTCACAAGACAGACTAGATGGTCTGCTATTGAATTGTGAAACAGGCATACAAACTTCCTGCATACCTAATTGCTTAAAAATACATAAGTCCCCCTCCCTCTGTAAGCTTCATGGAATGTTATGTAAAGTGTATTACCACCTTGAGGGTATTCTGGGAGCTCCACCAATGCAGTATTTAACAAGTGCTGGTATGTTCATAACACAGAAGTGGTCTCTGTACCCAGGGGTACCCATAGACTAGCCACATGCTGCAGACAAACAGAGCACCAAGTGATCTGATTATATATTTATCACAAAGTGATGTGATGTAGTCAGTTGTTTTTTAAACACACAAACCTGAGACTATGCTTTCCAGGGCAGATTAGTTGCATAAGGTTTAGCAGAAATGGTGCATTTTCAGGAGGGTTCTGGAGTAGATGGTAGGTGGCCAACACCTCAGGTTAGGTTGATAGTTCCAGGCCTAAAGAACAGCGTGGGAGGACAGGTGAAGAATGGGAGAAGGACATTTGGAGTAGTTAGGCCTCTTGTGCAGAGCACAGCTCATGCAAAGTGCTAGACTAGGAGCCATTGAGACTTGGCTAGGCCAGTTATCAGCCTGTATCTCAGCTGCCTTTTCTGGTTACAATTATTGAACAAATGGTGACAATCAGGTGGCCACAGTACCTTTGGACACTTGTTAATTTGGGGGCATGTGACAGACCAACTCTTGTTACATCAGTAGATAATTTCCTGGCAATGGGCCAAGATTGCATCT